TCGTTGTTAATTTGCACACTTATTTTAACAGCACTTAAGCGACCTGCGCCAAAGCTATATAACGATCTCTCGCAGGTCTATTTGATGTCCTAAACACGCAATGCATGATCGAATGATGTATGATTCACATAGTTCGATGATATTTACAATGTGCGAACGATAAGAATGAAAGTGTGACATCAAAGCCGTACGATTTATGCCTTAGCTTATAGGTGAATAGTTAGATGGCATTTTAATGTGTAAGCGGAGGAAAATATTATTTGTAATGTTTTTTGTTTTGCCGTGGCAAGGATTGTATCGGTCGTATATCCAAGTCCTGTAACACGATACCTCGTCTACCTCCAATACTTTCCTCCGTGCGTAAAAGTAGGCGGTGATTGGATGATTCGTTGAATTTAATAACATTTGCATAAGTACAAATCCATACTTCCAAGTGTGATTGATGGGATAATTCGCTTATGATATTAGACGATTTTCATGAATAAGGGACAATGCATTGCTTTGCAAATAATTCTATGACGGAGCTTATTAACAAACCTGACAGCCAATTAGTTTTGTTTGCAAAAACATTTAGCGAAAGCCAAAATACCTACCTTTAGCTATTTAAACACGAGCGATTCCTTTTTTGTGTGCAGACATTCATGAATTTTCTCGTGTTAATTGATTTGCGTGATTCGTGATGTTGATTGGTGCATTACATATACGGGCAATGGCTTATGCAATTAATAATTTCACTTGTTAAAGGGAGAATGTAATTCAGGTTTGTTATTATTATTATTATTATTATATATATATATATATATATATATATATATATAGATTTTTTCTTCTTCTTTTTATCTTTTTCTTTTAATAAGTGACTTTTCATGCATATGACCAGATACCATTGTAAAGCTGATAGTTGATGTGAAGTGAAGAGAAATGTTAGATGTGCAGAGAATATTATTTGCAAAGGACGAGAGAGCGTTGACATATTTCGAAGCTAATAAGCAAAAGTGCAATAAGGGCAGCTAGAGCGACCTTTTCCTCCAAAGATTAAAGTACATTCTTTCCTTCAAAAAAAAAACAAAAAAACAAAAAAACAAAAAAACAAAACAAAAACAAAAACAAAAACAAAAAACAAAAAAAAAAAGTAAATCTCGCTACAGTACTTACAGCCATTAGATTAATCCACGCGAATACTTGCGCACGTGTATATGTAAACTATATAGGCGTTACAAACAAGTATTGCTGGACGCACCGTAGGCTCGGATTTTTATAAAAATTTATACATACATGATTCGCGAGAATTACATTTTATTTCTTTACATATTGAAAGTGATCGAACGCGGGGAACAGTCGTCAATTGGACGTCAATAACATAAATTTATAATCAATTTGTGAATTGGATAACTAATAAAAGCAATAAAAGTAAAGAAAAAAGAAATGAATAAAAAACGAATTTTCAAAAGTCTACTAAAAGGTCCGTGTACTATTGATCGATCTTGGAGGAAAATTAATGACCAATGGAACGCTTAACTGTAATGTACGATACGATACTGACCATCCTGGTCTTCATGCAGAGTGGAATGCATTGCGTGGATGGAGTCCAGCTTTCGCTTGATTCCCCTGCCCTCGCATCGCACTGTGCTCACGGCACCGTCTGCCTGCTTCGCAAAGATCTGTCAAATACGAACTCGATCAAACTCAAACTTTCATGCTTCTTATCAATTTTGTAATTCGAATTGCATTTTCATCTATATGCCCGGCAATTGTTTCCCCTCTATTCCACTCGGTAGGGCGCAGTCGCGCTTTTCGTTTCAATTCACGTTTCTCAAACTCGATTCTTTGCTTAGAAGTTCGCATGCAAGTCAATAATAGTATACTAAAGACAGAGTCAAATTGTAAATAGATTGAAAATTTTCAAGCATGCTCTGTAGCAAGGAATCTAATAGAGATTTCAAGTTTAAATAAATTTTGAAAAAGTCAAGTAGGCCTAGATTTTATTATCTAATCGATTAGTTTTATTGTTTTTTTTTTTCTTATATAACTGACGAATTCGAGACACGCTTTCGAATTTAATCATTACATATACAAATTACATTATTGCCAATTCTATGTCAATATTATTAGTTACGTTAAAATGTATTATGAATTAAACATTAATAATACTAATACGGTTATCGCAATTACCTTCGTCAGATTTATTATTATCATTATTAATATTATTATTACTATTACTATTCTTTTTATTAATATTATTATTAATATTATTATTAATATTATTATTATTATTAATGACATTATTAATATCATAACTACTATTCTTGTTATTGTTAAAAATATTGTTATTATTGTTATTATTATTATTATTATTATTATTATTATTATTATTATTATATTGATATTATTATTATTATTGATATTATTATTATTATTATTATTAATATTATTATTACTTTGTATTGTTATTAATATAAATACAAACTAATTACAAAATTAATCACTGTAATAGAGACTTCGGTGAGTTTCTAACCTTTAAAAATTATTTTAAACAAATACCTACAGTACTCTTAAATTTATACTTTAAATGCTACTCTATATAATTCTATACAATAAAAAGTTGTAAACAAATGTACAATTTAAAAGACAGCTCTTAGCAGCAATTAATTTGTCAATGATGCCTTACTCACTAAGATAAATAATAAAATAACAGTTAATTCGCTAGGCGTTGTAAAAAAATCACTGGTCTTTATTCAACTCCCTGAAGTCTCTTTAACGCCGAGCTTCGAAGAGCCAAGAGAGTAGTATTCATACTCTGGATTGGAAATTTAATTGAAAACAAATTTAATATGAATTAAAATATAGATCAAAACTCTTCATCGAAAAAAAAAAAAAAAAAAAAAAAAAAAAATTGAGAATATTACGTGCTTCATTGTGTATATACTGTGCTTTTAAAATAAAATAAATTACAAATCAATATAATTCGACGTTTATATAACTTTCAGTGCATTACGAGTACATTATGTTTCTGAAATACATTCTGAATGTTCATGTATAAGAATGAATGTAATAAAGACAATTCAACTATTCAAAATGCTCTGAATACTCTTCAAAATGATTCCTGTAAGCCTTGAATTTCATAAATCCATAAATGCTTCGTGGCTTTTAAATGAACACAAACATACAATTATGTCTTCTGAATTATTTCACTATTTTATTTCGATTAAATTCTTAATGATTTTCGTTTAATTCATTACGTTATTTTATGAGTGAAAGTGAAATTGCATATAACAATCGATATCAATTGCTATCCCTTATGGGTGTAATTTATTTTATTTTAAATTAATCATTTGAACCAATGCCCTTTCAAGTACAACAATTCTAGGAAGCCTGTCAACAATCAATAAATATTAATTAAATATTAGCAATCGCATCAACTTGTAACATAATTTAAACATAATGAACTGCTATTATACGTAATTCATTATTGAATGACAATTTTGGAACAGCAAACAGACATTTCTTAATTATTAAATACATCGTACGAATTATATGATCGGTCACATAAAGTTTGCAGTGATCTACATGACAATTCCGTATATAAGGAAACTTATACTTGAAATATCGTTCGTTAAAATTAAACGATTAATACGTAATAAAAATAAAAGTATACTACACGTTAAAATTACTTTTTTCATTTTTTGTTTTTTTTTTGTTTTTTTTTTTTGTTTTTTTTTTATAAATAAATTTACAAAATAAAAGTAATGAATTAAAAAATTATTCTATAGGCAAATACTTTTGTGCTCTGCAAATTCTTATTCTTAGCGCGATAATTCTCCGAACTTAATTATACATACATTCTCCGACACTCTGCCGGGTGAATAAAAAAAGCTTTATTTTCTCTTTTCGAAAAAAATAAAAAAAAATAAAAAAAAAAAAAAAAAAAAAAAAAAAAAAAAAAAAAAAAAAAAAAAAAAAAAAAAAAAAAAAAAAAAAAAAAGAATTATTT